AGTAGAAACCTTGACTTTGGCCCAGCTTTGATCCTTTTTAATCCATTGTGGGTTCAAGCTATAAAATTAAAGGGCCTAGGAGTTCCCATGAACTCCTACCCATATACTAAAGCCTGGGGACATGATTTCAGCCCTCCTGGTACCTATCTGGACATTGTCTGTATCTATCTTTTGTTGCTTTAGTGTACTTGTATGTTTAACTGTGGATAAGAAGTTCATTTCCTCCAAGTTTCTTCAGTAGGGGCAAGGCCTTAGCTCTTCACAAGCAGATCTGCTTCTCCTGCAGTCTCATTGTCCTGCTGGCTTTGAACCACCTTTTATAAACCGTGTATGTAAGTTGGATGCATTTTGTCTTCACTGTAAACTCGGGGGCTTCTGCTGCTAACAGATGTGCTCCATGGAGACCCAGGACTCTACGTCTACCCCACACTCTTCATCCTTCCTTATGAGGAGACCTTGCACATGCCCTTCTCCCATCTCCTTCTCCTGTCTCTTGAGTGCCATGCTGACTCTGATTTCTGTGCCTGGCAACACATGGGATCTTGGGTTACCATGGCACCTGTCTCAAAAAACATAAGCAAAGAAGAAAGAAAAACCAAAAAATAATCCAAAGAACTCAAAAGTATACTACATGTCCTCAAAAGATTATAGTGTCTGGAAACATTTTTTATAAATAGATAATGATCCATTTCATAATTCCGTAAATCATATACAAAAATCAAAATACTTCTCTATTTACGCAACCCAGTGCATGTGTGTGTGTGTGTGTGTGTGTGTCTGTCTGTCTGTCTGTCTGTACTAGAGACAGTACAGCTGTGACTTGATGCTTGCTAGCCTACCTTTAGCTTCAGTGAGAGATCCTAACTGAATGGAAGAAGGCTGTTACAGTGCAGCAGGATAGTGGATAACCTCTTGTGGCCTCCATGAAAATGGACACAGGCAGCTGTGCACACAAAGTCATGGATGAACCACATGCCAATAAACATGCACACATGCATGGGTACTGACAGACTGTGGGCTTCAAAAACAATTTAGGCTTATTGTGTCTTACGTGTATGAATGCTTTGCCTGCATGGACACAGGCAGCTGTGCACACAAAGTCATGGATGAACCACATGCCAATAAACATGCACACATGCATGGGTACTGACAGACTGTGGGCTTCAAAAACAATTTAGGCTTATTGTGTCTTACGTGTATGAATGCTTTGCCTGCATGCATTCATGTTAGGGCAGCACGTGAGTACCTGGTTCACTCAGAGGTCAGAGGTCAGGTCAGAGCCTCTGGAACTAAAGTTACAGATGGTGATGAGCCACCATGTAGATTCTGGGAACTGAAACCAGATCCTCTGCAAAAGTGACAGTTCTTTTTATCTCTGAGCCATCTTTCCAGGCCCTGGCACTCAAGTGTTTTTTTTTTAAATATTTTTTATTTAAATTAGAAACAATCTCATTTTACATATCAGTCCCACTTCCCTATCCCTCCTATCCTCCCATGGCCCCACTAAACCCCCCATCCCACACCCCGGAGAGGGTGGGGGCTTCCATGGGGAATCATCAAAGTCTGTCATATCATTGGGGGCCTAAGCCCTCCTGCAGGTATCTGGACTGAAAGAGTATCCCTCTATGGAGAATGGGCTCCCAAAGTCCATTACTGCACTAGGGGTACGTATTGTTCCACTGCCAAGGGCCCCATGGCCTGACCAGGCCTCCTAACTGTCACCCAAAGTCAAGAGGCCTGGTTTGGTCCTAAGCTGGTTCCCCAGCTGTCAGACTGGGGTCCATTAGCTCCCACTTGCTCAGGTCAGCTGTATCTGTGGGTTTCCCCAGGATGGTCTTGACCCCTTTATCACCCCTTCCTCTGAAGCTGGATTCCAGGAGTTTGGCTCAGTGCTTAGCTGTGAGTGTCTGCTTCTGCTTCCATTAGCTACTGGAGGAAGGCTCTAGGATGCCATAGAAGGTAGTCATCATTTTCATTATAGAAGAAGGGCATTTAAGATAGTCTCTCTCCTATTGTTTAGATTCTTAGTTGCAGTCATCCATGTGGATCTGTGGACATTTCCCTAGTGTCAGATTTCTCTTTAAACCTATAATGACTCCCTCCATTATGGTATCTCTTTTCTTGCTCTCCTCTATTCTTCCCCCCCACACACACACATTCAAATCTTCCTGATCCTTCTTGTCCTCCTCTCCTCCTCTCCCCTCCTCCTCTCCCCTCCTCTTTTTCCTACCTCCCTCCCCCTTCCCCGCTCCACTATGTTCCCTATTTGTTCAGGAGTTCTTGTCGCTTTTCCCTTCCCTTCTTCAGGGAATCACATATATATATATATATATTGTGAATTATTGGCTAGTAATCCATTGATCTATGTCTAATATGTGTGAGAACATAAACATGTTTGTCTTTCTGTGACTGGGTTACCTAACTCAGGATGGTTTTTTCTAATCCCATCTATTTACCTACAAATTTCAAGATTTCATTTTTTTTTCTTCTGAGGAGTACTCCATTGTGTAAATGTACCACATTTTCTTTATCCATTCTTGACTTGAGGGGCATCTAGGTTGGTTCCAGGTTCTGGCTATTACAAATAAAGTTGCTATGAACATAGTTGAATAGATGTCCTTGTTGTATGAATGTGTATCCTTAGAGTAAATTCCTAAGAGTGGAATTGCTGGATCTTGATGTAGACTGATTCCAATTCTCCTGAGGAACTGCCATACTGATTTCCACTGTGGATGTACAAATTTGCACTCCCACCAGCAACAGAGGAGTGGTTGTTCCCATTTCTCCACATCCTCTCCAGCATAAACTGTTATTAGTGTTTTTGATTTTAGCCATTCTGAGTGGTGTAAGGTGGTAGTCAAAGTTATTTTAATTTGCATTTCTCTGATGGTTAAGGAATTTGAGCAAGATATATATGTGTGTGTGTGTGTAATTTAAATAAAAAACAAACTTATTTTACATTTAAAACCCAGTTCCCTCTCCCTCCCATCTTCTCATATCCCCCAATGATCCCCCCATCACATCTACCATCCACTCCCCAGGGATAGTAAGTCTTCCAAGGGGGATCATTAAAATCTGTCAAGTCATTTGGGGCAGGGCCTAGAGTCCACCCCTGTGTGTCTAGGCTAAGAAAGTATCCCTCTATGGGAAATGGGTTCCCGCAGTCCGTTCATTTGCACTAGGATGCATCCTGGTTCCACTTCCAGAGGCCCTACAGACTGCCCAGTGCTCCTAACTGACACCCAACTTCAGGGGGCCTGGTTTGGTCCTGTGTTGTTTCCCCAACTGTCAGGCTGGGGTCCATGAGTTCCCACTTGCTCAGGTCAGGGGTTTCTGTAGGTCTTCCCAGCGTTGTCTTGGCCCCTTTGTTCCTTATTCCTCCTCTCTGAAAATGGATTCCAGGAGTGTGGCTCAGTGCTTGGCTGTGGTTCTCTGCTTCTGCTTCCATCAGCTACTGGATGAAGGCTCTAGGATGGCATATAAGGTAGTCATCATTCTCATTATAGGGGAAGGACACTTAAGGTAGCCTCTCCACTATTGCTTAGGGTCATAGCTGGGGTTATCCTTGTGGATCTCTGTACATTTTCCTAGTGCCAGATTTCTCTTTAAAACTATAGTGACTCCCTCTATTGATGTGTTGTGTTTGGTTTTTTTTTTTTTTTGGTCTCCTATAATCCTCTCCTCACTCAATCTTCCTGATCCCTCACATTCTCCTCCCCCTTCCTCCCCTTTTTCTTCCTCCTACTTCCCTTAACCCTCCCCACATACTCCTCACTTGTTCAGGGGCTCTTATCCCTTTCTATTTCACTGGGGAACCCTGTGGGTCTCTCTTATACTCCTTATTTCCTAGCTTCTCAGGAGGTATGAACTGTGGGCTGGTAATCCTTTTCACTATGTCTAGATTCCATATATGAATGCATACATTCCATGTTTGTATTTCTGTGACTTAGTTGCCTCATGTAGAAAGGTTTCTTTTTAGCTCCATTCATTTTCCTGCAAATTTCAAAATTCTATTGTTTATTTTTTCCAATGAGTAGTACTCCATTCTGTAAATGTACCACATTTTCTTTATTCATTCTTGACTTGAGGGGCATCTAGGTTGCTTCCAGGTTCTGGCTATTAAAAATAATGCTGCTATGAACATAGTTGAATAGATGTTCTTGTATGAATGTGCATCCTTTGGGTATATGCCTAAGAGTGCTATTGCTGGAGCTTGAGGTAGACTGATTCCCATTTTATGGAGAAATCACCATATTGATTTCCAAAGTGGCTCAAAAGCTTGCACTCCCACCAGCAATGGAGAAGCATTCCCCTTTCTCCACATCCTCTCCAGCATAAACTGTCATTGGTGTTTTTTATTTTAGACATTCTGATATCTCAGAGTTGTTTTGATTTGCATTTCCCTGATGGCTAAGGACTTTGAGAACTTAAGGGTCTTTTAGCCATTTTAGATTCCAATATTGAGACTTCTCTATTTAGTTCTGTACTCCACATTTTAATTGGATTATTTGGTGTTTTGGTGACTAGTTTCTTGAGTTTGTTTTATACTTTGGAAATCAGCCCTCTGATTGATGGGGTGAAGATCTTTTCCCATTCTGTGGACTGTCCTTTAGTCTTGCTGACTTGTCTTTTGCCTTAGAGAAGCTTCTCAGTTTCAGGAGGTCCCATTTATTAATTGTCAGTTTCAGTGTCTGTGCTACTGGCATTATGTTCAGGAACCTGTCTCCTGTACCAATTCATTCAAGGATACCTCCCACTTCTCTTTCAAGATGCTCAGTGTGTCTGGATTTACTTTGAAGTCTTTACTCCATTTAGACTTAAGTTTTGTGCATGGCGATAGGTGTAGCTCTATCTGCAATCTTGTATGTGTCCCATCCAGTTATGCCAGCATCATTTTTGAAGGTGCTTTCTTTTTTCCATTGTATAATTTTAGCTTCTTTTTCAAAAAGCGGGTGTTCATAGTGTATGGATTAATATCAAGGCCTTCGATTAAATTCCATTGGTCTGCCTGTCTGTTTTTGTGCCAATACGAAGCTATTTTCATTACTATAGCTCTATAGTCAGTAACGGTGATGGCTCCAGAAGATCCTTTATTGTACATGGTTGTCTTGACTACCCTGGGTTTTTTTCCATATAAAGTTGAGTATTGTTCATTAATTCACCATTGAATTAAACTCCCTGGAAGTCTGAGTGGGGAAAGGGATGAGAAGTTAGAACAAATGAGGGACAGCACTGAGGATGTTTGAAAAGGCTAAAAGGAAAAATATGAGATCAAATATATATGCATATATTCATACAAATGTGTACAGGGAATTATCCCAGAAGCCATCCATATAAGTATGCTGTGTAAGCTAAGCAGTGTTCTCTCAGGAAGCCATGACACACAGCACCTGTGATTAACAGTCATTCTGTCTTCCTAGGTACTCAGAATCCCCCAGTTATTAACGAGATTTTTTTTAGAGAGGAAGAGTTCGAACCTCATAATGAGGTAAGGTGACCTTTCTATGACTGAAATAGAAATGTTGTTGTCTGAATTTTCTATTTCATTTGAATTTGGTTATTGAATTATGACAGTGTGGGTTATACATACTGTGCTCTGATATCTGGAATAGTAGAACAGTCCCTTGCCAATGGCCACCTTGTTGGAAAGAGCATTTTTGAATGGCACAGTCAGGGTACAGAATAGATGTTATCACCTGTGCCTCCAGGTGACAATGCTTCTTCCTTGAATTAACTATTTTGTGGTTGGTGACTTAAAGAGGCTTAACATACATCATTCATGACATGATGGTTGGTTTGTCACAGATATGTCTTATCTTTATTTTTGCCAGTCATTAATGTTGGCAGTAATCACCATGCCTTTTCAATGATGAGGAAGGAAAATAAAGACATGTGCCTCCATGTGACATGATGTTACCCTTATAATGTCTCTGTTTCCATAATTTCAGGGAGCCTGGGAAGAATACGAAAGTTGTAAGTATTGTTTAACTCCTTGGTTAATGTAAATGCTAACGTAGGTATGGTGTCCCTTACTGTCTTCTCTTTGAAAGGCAAACCAACTTGTTATTTCTGGAAGGAACAAAACAGTCAACATGATTTTTTTAAGGTGTTCTGGATATCCGTTTATACTCAAGTTTCTGCACAGATTTCTGTGAGCCTGTGTGCATAGTGAATGGTAGGGTTTTGTGTGCTTCAATGTCTTGTGATTCTGAGTGCATGTGACTCAGCGTGAGGTGATAGTTAATGGGGGACATACTTCATACACACCTAAAATGGACTTAATTAGCTCATCTGGTCTTCGTGGCATTTGTGTCTGGGCATTGTTATAACCCCTGCTTCAGAACAAAAATGAAGAATCCCTGACTAAAATTCATACTCAGAAATTGAAAACATGAATCTATCTGGGAAATCCAATGCTCTTGTTTCCATGATTGAGCCTTGAATTCACTTAAAGTCTGAGAGCATTGTCAGCAGGACTGAGAGTTTTTCATGTGGTTATGAAATGCTGTCCATCCGTAGCGCCATGTCGTGTTAACTACATACATAAACTAAGCCATTTCCACCGATGCTTGAAGTCACTCATGAAAAGTCCACAGACTCTCTGCTGTAGCAGTCATTCCACACAGACCTTCTGAGTTAAAACTAATCATGAAAGACAAGTGGCTTACTTCTGTAGATTTTGGGCTCATGTCATAGAAGCTGGCCCAAAAACATTAAAAATTTTGGAAGTATTATAGTACACTTTTTTTGTTGTAGGCTTGGTCTATATTTCTTTTTTTCTCAATGTATGTTTTTATTTAATTAGGAACATGAATATTTTACATGTCAGTCCCAGCTCCCTCTCACACCCCTCCTCCCTTGTCTCTCCACCAGCTCTCCAAACCCCCATTCAATCCCCACATCATTCCCCAGGGAGGGTGAGACACTCCTTGGGGGGATCTCTAAAGTCTGTCATTGCATCCTGGGCAGGTCCTAGGCCCTTCCCCATGTGTCCAGGCTGAGAGAGCATCCCTCTATTTGAAATGGGCTCCCAAAGCTCATTCATAAACCATGGTGAACACTGGTTTACTACCCAAGGCCCCAGTGATATCTGTGGCCTCCTCCCTGGCACTACATTCATGGAGTCTGGATCAGTCTCCTGTTGGTCTCTCAGCCATCAGTCTGGGATTCAAGAGCTCGCCCTTATCCGGTTAGCTGTCATTGTGAGTTTCATCATCATGGTCTTGACCCCTTTTCTTATCACTCCTCCATCTCTGTCACTAGTTTCCAAGAGTTCAGTTCAGGGTTTAGCTGTGGGTATCTGTCTCTGCTTCCATCAATCCCTGGATGAAGGTTCTAGGATGGCATATAGGATACTCATCAACCCTATCATCAAGGAGGGACCATTACTGTAGTCTCTCCACTATTGTTTAGTTTGCCAGTTAGTGTTATCCTTGTAGAACTCTGGAGATCTCACTAGAGTCAGCTCACTCTTCAAGCCTATAATGACTTGATCTATTATGGTATCTCTCATCCTGCTCTCCTCTATTCTTACCTCGACTCAACCTTCATGCTCCCCCTTGCCTTCTTCCCCCCTCCTCTTATCCCCCTCTGTTTTTCTTGGTTCCCTCTCCCCTCCCCCGATGTTATCAATGTGCTCAGGAAATCTTGCCTCATTCCACTCCTGTGGTGTATCATGCATCTCTCTTTGGAACCTCCCTGTTTCCCAGACTCACTGGCACTGGGATTGTAGGCTGACACTCCTCTGATCCATATCTAAAATCCATATATGAGTGAGTACATACCATGTTTGTCTTTTTTGTGTCTGGGTTACTGCACTCAGGAAGGTTTCTTCTAGTGTCATCCATTTGCCTGCAAATTTCAAGATTCCATTGTTTCTCTCTGCTGAGTAGTACTCCATTGTGTAAATGTACCACATTTTCTCTATCCACTCTTCAGTTGTGGGGCATCTAGGTTGCTTCCAGGATCTAGCTATTACATATAATGCTGCGATGAACATAGTGGAACAGACATCCTTGTTGTGTGAATGGGAATCTTTTGGGTATATGCCTAAGTGGAATTGCTGGGTCTTGCCGTAGACTCAGACCCATTTTCTGGAGGAATCTCCATATTGATTTCCTTAGTGGCTGTACTAGTTGGCACTCCCACCAGCAGTGAAGGAGTGTTCCCCTTTCTCCACATCCTCTCCAGCACAAACTGTCATTGGTGTTTTTGATTTTAGTCATTCTGACAGGAGTAAGATGATATCTCAGAGTTGTTTTGATTTGCATTTCCATAATGGCTAGTGATGTTGAGCACTTTCTCAAGTGTCTCTCAGCCATTTTATATTCCTCAACAGTGAATTCTCTATTTAGTTCATTCCCTCATTTTTAATTGGATGCTTTGGTGTTTTGGAGACTTGTTTCTTGAGTTCTTTGTAAATTTTGGAGATCAGCCCTCTGTCAGATGTAAGGTTAGGGAATATCTTTTCCTAATCTGTGGGGTGCCTTTTTGTCTTACTGACTGTCCTTTGCCTTACAGAAGCTTGTAAATTTCAGGAGGTCCCATTTATTAATTGTCTATCTCAGTGTTTGTGCTACTGGTGTTATATTCAGGAAGCAGTCTCCTGTACCAATTTCTTCAAGGGTACCTCCCACTTTCTCTTCTAAGAGGTTCAGTGTGGCTGGATTCATATTGAGGTCTTTGATCCATTTAGACTTAAGTTTTGTGCATGGCGATAGACATCGATCTATCTGCAGTCTTCTACATGCCAGCAGCCAGTTATGGCAGCACTATTTGTTGAAGATGCTATCTTTTTTGCTTCTTGCATAATTTTAGCTTCTTTGTCGAAAATCAGCTGTTCATAGATTTGTGGATTAGTCTCAGGGTTTCAATTTGATTCCATTGGTCTACCTGTCTATTTTGTAATACACAGCAGGTGTTAACAATTGCACATTCTGAGCTTTAAATTAACTTTTTATTTTTTGAAATTATATTGTTTTCCTCTTTTCTCCCTCTGACTATTCCCATACCCCACCCCCTTTCACCCTCCTTTCCTCCAACTGTAGATTATAGTTGTGTGGGGTGTATGTGTGTGTGTGTGTTTTCTTAAATGTGTGGATACAGTCCACTCTTTCCATATAATGTTATTTGTATTAGGAGACTTCAGAGCTGACAAGTTGTTGGAAAACCAATTGGGCTGTTTCCTGGGGAAAAGGAATTTTCTCCCACTCTCCAAAAATTTTTGGTTACAGGTCTACTGTTATGGATGGATCAATTCAGGCTGGGTACCCCACAATCGCTTGTTTTCTGCATTTTTATTAGTTGTGGTTTCCTATTATGATCTCATTCTGTTGCAAAGAGAAATTGTTTTTCTTTGATAACAAAAGCTACACATATCTGTGAGTATAAGGATATACATTTGGAATACAGTTTTAGCCTAGCTGTGATGGTGCATGCCTTTAATCCCAGCAACTGGGAGGCAGAGGCAAGTGGATTTCTGTGAGTTCGAGGCCAGCCTGGTCTACGGAGTGAGTTCCAGGTCAGCCTCCAAAGCTACACAGAAACCCTGTCTTAAAAAAACAAAACACACAAAAATAGAATACAGTTAGAAATTATGCTGCTTTCATGTATTTTTTAACACAGGACACACTTGTCCCAGACTAGCCTATATATTTGAGCTAATCTTGAACTCCTGAGTGCTGGTATTATAAGTATATGCCACAAAGTATGGATCAGCTGGATTTATTTTCTATTGGGTAAAGTGGCTTTAATGAAGGAACAAGAATCCCAGGTCTCATTTTGTTTTGTTTTGTTTTTTCTTTTCTTGAATATCCTCCTACACTGGAGGATGGCCCAGCAGCAGCCCCAGCTATCTCCATACACTCCTGTGCACATTGACACTGTTCCCTGAGTGTTTTCTGCTCATTAGCAGCCAGCATCCTTACAGTTACTCTGTTTTCTCCTAGATTTTCCTAGTGGTTTACATGTTTCAGAGTCTAAACCTACGGTAAGAACAACTCTGTATGTCTTCTGTAGAAATACAGCACTATTTAGGTTCCGTGTGTGTTGTTGTTTGAAAGAGAGTTTCCTTTTGTGGAACTCAGGGGTTGTCTGCTAGTTGGTCTCCAGCTCTCTGGTGTCACTGGCGTCACCATATCCATTAACATTTAATCACAGAAGCAGTTTCCTCGGAGATGATTTTCCCTATTCTCTTAAGGACTGTGTGCTTGCAGTGTCAACAGACTTGGAAAGTACAGTGTAGGAAAGGCTCCTTCATCTCTACCAGTGTGGTTTGCAGCACCAGTAGAGCTATATGGCCGATGTTCCCTAAGTCACCCAGCAAAAGCCAGACTATTGTAAAGCATACAAAATTGCCCGATACTGACAATGCTTTCATTTTTATAATTGCAGCCCACTTCTACATTGGAAGGCAGTAGTAAGTACCTGAGACCCTCCTTTGTTCAGGAAATTCTTAGTGTTTAATTCCTGAGAAGCCTGACTCTGGGTTCTTATTGGGAAGGAGGGTTAAGGTTAAATGGGATAAAATGATTCTGCAATAGAGCCTCCATGGAAACTCCCAAGAAGAACTAGCGTCAATATGGTGTGACTTCACCTGGTATACTCTATCCTGATGTTCTTGTAGACATTGCCCAGGTGGGAGATACAGATGTTGAAGATCAGCAGAAATTTGATAGCAAAGAGAGTTTTCCTGGTAAGTAACAGATGCCCAGTTGGAATCCATAGTAGAGGATCCAGGAAACAGTCAGGTTTTACCTTCTGCTTTGCAGGCTGAGGCAGTGTAAAAGGTATTGGTTCGATGGAGATTTGTATACTTCTTCTAGGCATAATGGTAAAGAGGGGTAGAAAAAGCACACCAAACCCCACTGTCAATTAAAAATAAGCTGGGAAGTGGGAGAGATGACTCTGATTAAGAGCACTGATTTCAATACCAGAGGACTGGATTTAAGTCCCAGAACCCATACGGTTGTTCACAACCATGTGTAACTCAGTTCCAGGGTATGTTATGCCCTCTTCTTTTCTTGGCTGGCACTGCATGCCTTTAATATATAGGCATTCATATGCAGGCAATACAGATTAAATAAACTTAAAAATAAAAATATGGTCTTTAGCAGAACACACATCTTTCTTGCCTCTGTCACCGCCAATACTCCTAGCCTTTGTTTGTAATTAGTAGCTCTCCTTGGAAATTGTGTGTATTGTAACGTATTCTGGAAAGGGGTGTACATCTGATGATCACTTTTGATTGGTGAGTTGTGACAGGAGGAACTGACAGTAGAGCACAACTCTCTATAGTCAATGTCAAGAACCTGAGTACAAGGGACTAGTAGTGTGGACCCTATATTGCAGAAGAAACATCCTCTTCTGGCTGGCCCTGCAGGGCTTGGAGCTATACCTCCATGTTTCTATTCAGTTCTTTACTACAAAGGGAACTCTATGGGAGTGGTGGCAGATTGAGTTGTCTGGCCTTACTGCAGCACCTTCTGTAACAATCAGGGAACCAATGGAAAACTAAGGCTGATCTGATGTGAGCTAATGTGGCTGTGTCTTCTATAGGCAGAAGTGAATAACTCACTCTGTTTACTTTTTTCCAGATGCTTTTGAGGTACAGGACTGGGAGCTGCGGAAAATTTCAAGTACCCTCTTTCCGGGTAGGTAACTGCATGGCATTCTGGGCCTACTCTGTCATGTGGGCAAGATGTCATTGGGGATGAGGACAGAGGGAAGAATGTATATGAACTCATTTCGAGCCTGTGCTGCTCACACTAGACTTACTTTAGGCCAAATGAGTCAAAGGACACATTGACACCTGTCTTGGAGCTTCTGACCTAATACTTGAGGATGGATCTGGTACTCTCTGGTCCAGCTATGTCCTCATTTTCAGATAATCCCCATACAAAATGTGTACACAAGTTCCTAGGTTTTAAGGTGCAGGGCTGTAGGAAAAGAGCTTCATACCCTTAGCGCTGACCACGCCCCATTTGGGTGTGGTCTCAGGTACATAGAACCTACAGGGGACAAAAGAGCTAGGGGGAGAAGATGCTTTCTCTCTCTGGGTTCTGGTTGCATTCCAGAAAGCAGCACGCCCACTTTTGGTTCTCAACTTTCTTGGCTTCTCACATAAGTGATTTCTCCCTCAATAAAATGACATTGGACATCCCTATTTTGTGTAGCTTAATATTTCCACATTACATGTCCATTGTATTTTCTCTCGTGTGTCTCTCTGGCTTGTCCTCTCTATGTCTGAACCCCACTTTCCTGCCCTCTCATCAGATCACCTTGCCACATCTGCCTGTGTGCTCTGTCCTCTGAGCTATCGGGGACTTCCATGTGCTTCATGCTTAGTGGAGTTCTCACCTGTCTTGATGATCTAGAGTGAGTCAAAGGACACTATGTTTCCCAAGTGTCTTCTAGGCACCCCTTGCAGTAGGATGAGGGTTTGTTTTCATCGCAAGTATGTCTGCGTGCCCTGCATTCTTCTGCTTCTAATCCATTGGTTCTGCCTTGTATAAACTCAGGGACTCCTTTCTAATCAATATGTCTATAGACATAGAGCCCACTTCACTGCACACATTATTTCACCACTCTTCTGTCCCTTACCCAGAGCCTTCTCCACCCTCTTCCCTATTTCCTGAGGGAAATGGTCTCAGCACTTCATGCCCAGTCATCCATAAACCTGTGCCCTACTACCTTGTTCCTGATTCAGCAATCTGGGTTGTATTGCCCACCTCTTGTGACCAAACCTGAACTTGATTCCCTGGATTCATTCCTGTTTCGTGTCTGTGGTCAGTCGTCTTCCCCTTCCCTTGAAATGTGAACTCACCTGAGTCCTTTACAAAGGTAATGTGACAGTCAAAACCCAAACTGGAACTGTATACAATTGCACATACTTAGGGACATGCTCATAAAACACACTTGAGTCTTAATAGATCATCTGATTCACATATTTCCTTGTGGAAAAGAGGTGAAAGGTTGTTCTTGCCTAGCTGAGGAAAACATGGGAGCTGAACAGTGTGTGAGCAGGAATGCTAAGCACAATACAGTTAGCAAGCAGAGCTTTGATTGTGGTGTGAAAGGAGACCCAAAGGGGACATCCAGAAGTTACAAACAAACACCAAAACAGCCAATAGAAAATTGTCCTGAACAATGCTGATAGCATGGAAGATGGCATACATGGCAGCAGTCACTCACCGAGGATGGTCAACTTGATCCTTGACAGAAAGACCCAACAATGTCCCATAGCTTTGTTCCACATCTCCTTCCCTATTCTGAACCTCTTCCTGCTCTCTCCCTAGTGGTGAATGTATTGTACGTAGCCCCACCTAAATCTTCAGATAAAGAAACTGTTAAAAGGAAGAGGAGGAGGAGGAGGAGGCGCTACTATTGATAAAAGCATCCAGCGTCGCCCCAGTGAGTACTGCACATCCAGAGGCTTCATGAGATTAAAAGCAAGGGGGGCAGGGAGACAGAGAAATAAAGACAGAGCCAAACAGTCAATCCTCCAGTTCACTTGATAGCAGAGCTTCATCAGGATAAGGAATTGCTGTACCAAAGGCTTGTTGGGTTTTCAGGGGATATTGGGAGTAGAGACCTTGATATAGGAGAGGCTATGTCAGACTACTCCATTTCTATAATGAATCCAGCATCTTTGTGCCAGCATTCACCTACCCTCCTCTTAGCCTGTCTGTGACCTTCAGTACAGGAACCTGGGGGTAGCACTGTTGAAGAGAGCACAGAGGAGTGCTGCTTCCTGGTTTGTTCCACATGGCTTGTACAGCCTACATTTTCATAGAATCCAGGATCAACAGCCTATGGATGGCACCACCCACAATGGAATGGGCTCTCCTCCATCAGTCACTAATGAAGAAAATGCCCTACACGCTTGCCTGTAATCTAGTCTTGTGTGTGCAAATTCTCAAATGATCCTCCCTCCTCCCAGATGACTTTAAATTGTATCAGCTCAACATAAAACTAGGCAGGACTGGGGACATGAGAACGGAAGGTAAATGCATAGGTCAGGTCATGCAGGTCCCTATGAACTGTAAGCTGGGGAGCAGGGTTACTGGTGTCAAACGTATATGAGTGGTATTGGGAGAAAGGTATGGGAGGTGAGGCTGAGAGATGAGAAACCTGACCATTCCACATTCAGTAACACCTTTTACAAGGGAGAGGAAACCTGCTGGACAGAGAAGAGCAATTGTCCAAGAACTCTTTGCACTTTGAGGCAGCAATTCCCAAAGGTCTGTAGTGGCATCCAGTTCAGAAACCACAACTCTGCCTTGCCAGGGGCTTCTTCAGGTATGAGTTACTGCAGGCATTGATAGAGGAACAGAGACACACAGGAGATGCAGCCACATTTTGGAAAATGCATCCCAGGCCAAGGGAACCGTGCACATAGCAGAGTCCTCGTGAAATAGATGTTCTCAGACTATGATGGTTGGGCAGCCTAGGCAGGGCTGTTACACCACTGCAGAGTCTCATCTCTACTGAAATAACACTTTGTTTCTCCTCTGTTCATAGGCTCAAAATATCTTTTATAAATGGTGACCATCAATAGCTGGAGGCTGATAAGTATTAACCAATTATTATAAAGACCCCATGATCCCAGAACCTACTTTTTCCACGACATAGAATCCAGGACAACAGCTTTATCACCTGTTAAACCGCTGGTAAGATCCATGACTCCTGCTTTACTCTTTTCTCAGCCTCTTTAGAATCTCAAACCCAGCAAGGCAGTGCTTGCCAGCTCTTTCTCTCTGTCGTCCCAAACATGCTGGAAGAAAAGCCTAGCTGTGTTGATTCATTTTGTCAACTTGACACAAGCTAGAGCTACTTGAAAGGTAGGAACTTCAACTGAGAGAATACTTCCACAAGGTCAAGATGTAGGACATTTTCATAGTGATTGATAGAAGAGAACCAAGCCTATCATGGGTGGTGCCTCCTTCGCAGATGGTTCTGGGTTCTATAAGAAAGAAGAAGCAGCAAGCCAAGACAATAATCAGCACCCCTCCATGGCCTCTGCATCACCTCTTGCTTCCTGATTCCTACCCTGTTTGAGTTCATTCCTCACTCTTTTGATGATGAACTAGAACTGGAGCAAAATGAACCCTTTCCTCCCCAAGTTGTTTTTGGTCCTGGTGTTTCATCAAAACAATAGAAACCTTAACTATAAGACTCATAATTAATTGCATGATAAATAAGACTTTGTGTTCCCACTTCCCAAAATATTTGTGTTTTAGCTAGAGAACATCACACCATAGAAATAGGTTGCACATGGTATTTGTTTTGTGTATGTGTGTGTGTCTGTGTGTGGGGGGTATCTGTGTGTGCGTGTGTGTATGTGTGTGTTCTTTGCTGAGCTCCCCTATTGGAAGCATTAGTAAAAGCAGCATTGGAACAAGTGGGCATGATCTTTAGAGACTACAAAAGGGCACTCCAGAGGCCAGCCTGGTTCATTCTCCAGACAGAGTGTTTCTATAAGGTCAGGCTGGTAGACTGCTAGATCAACCACCTCCAGACATTGAGGATTGGATCCCAGAGCTGAGCTGATGTTGTTGTCTCCTAGTTAAACACTGCTGAGGCCAGTGACAATTCCTTGGGTAAGTACACACTTTGTAGGAATTTTCAGCTCATTACCAAATGGAGGTTTCTTTTTAGAAAAGACGTTTTGCTATTCATCTAAAAGGATTGTGATCCCATTTGGTCATCCTTTTGAAAATTTAATGTGAGTTACAACTACAGATAATTTTAGATCTTACATACTCACCCTTTCATTGCCCTGGTGTAATATGCTCAGAGGTATTTACCTGCTACTTTTCAAATTTGATCATGTTTAACTTCTTAAAATATTGTTAGAGCATTTTTCTATTTAATTCAGAGCAACAAAAGGGATCACTACCTCTAAATTAAGTGTACACATATAATATATAAAATTAAATGCCTTGAATGGATTGAAAATTACAATAATCTAGGGATATTTTATATGAATATGTATAAAAGCAAAAATTCAAGATTTAGTAAAGAAATTTTTCTTCGTCTTTCTCTGTTGTAAAGTATAGGAAAATACACAGTATGAAATTAAGTATGAAATACTGCTATAGTAGCTTACCATCTTGGAAGAAGTGTCTATGCCTTCTACTGATTGATATATGAGGTTGGAGGTGTACATGGGACTAAGTTAGAGAAAACTCATACACAGGACTGTATCACAATTTGAATCCAATTTGTGCGTCTCTTGCTTGTCTGGAGTCAATAATAGCAATTCTGCTTTTCTTCCTTCAGAAAGTGGAGTCAGGCATCTCCCAAGCCTTCTGGAAAGAACTCACCGGCTTCATCTGCTTGGGCTGCCCCACAGACCCAGTCACCATAAGCTGTGGCCACAGCTTCTGCCGGGCCTGCCTCCACCTTTCCTGGAAAGACATCAAAGTTACTGTCCATTGCCCTATGTGTAGGACACCATGCCAGGAAAAGGACTCCAAAACCAACATTTTCCTGAAGAAGGTGGTGTCCATTGCCTTGCCAAACAAGCCTAGCTCTTGAAGTCCTTGAGCTTCAAGAGCATGAGTACATGACCCACAAGGATATCAAGCAGATTTCCTGTGGGGAGAACAGGATCTACCTCTGTGAACGCTGCTCTGTCTCCCATGAGCACAGTGTTCACACACAGCCCTATTGGAGCAGCTCCTGAGGTAAGTGATGCTTGAGAGAGAATGTGAAAGCTGAAGAGGGAGGCTTAGCAGACCACAGCAAGACGCTTGTCCTGATTATGAGGAAGCCGCTGTTTTTGGGATACTGGCACTTTATTAACAGCTAATGAAGAAAGGGTGACTGTGAATAGAAACATCCCTTGGGAGACTTATGGTGTAAAAATCATTTCTACTTTGTGATGCATTATCCCCAGGAAGGAAATAACTACATTCATATGTTTTGAAAGTGTCTGTGGCTGGAGACTAAATTAGAAAAATGCATTGTAGTCAGCTAGAGAGAAGCATCTGGGAATCCCAATCTTATGCAAATTACCCAGACATTAGTCATAATTATTAATCACTTTACCTAAACAAATGGGTATGCTGTGTTTTATGGTTCTATGCTCTATAATCCAAAATTTATAGTTACCAAAAGTAAAAAAAGAAATTGATCCTTCTACTTTCGTTAAAGTAATTGCATTTGTGGCCCAATAGTGTGTCTATTAATCAAAAGTTGATATTTATTGTTTCTTACAGGAGAGACTTCTAAAACAAATAGCATCTCTATAGGAGAAGATCCAAGAAAATCAGGATAATCTAGAATCAGAGGATAGTATGATAATTCAGTGCAGAGTTAGTAGGAGATTCATGCTTAAAATCTGGATGAGGCAGATATTTTTCAGTTTGTCATTCAAGAGTTAAATATAAGGTATTAGGTGTGATACTAGGAAACATTTTTCTGCTGGCTTCTCCTTCTAAGTGTAAGATATAATTCTGCATGTGGAAAGAATGATCTGTCTGTGTGGCAAAGGAGTCTGAGACTAATGAGTGAATTACTTACAGTTCAGCACACTGGATTAGACTCTATGACTGCACCATGAATTCCAGTGACTACCTGCAGAGGTTCATATTTGAGTAAACACATGAATTGTCAATCAATACCTTTTCTTCAGGCACCTCTGGGTCTCTTATATAGGTGAAAATTTTTAAGGTGTGATTGTCTGTGTAATTAATAAAGAAGAAATTAAGGAAACCAAAGAATTTACATATTCTGAAAAGTGGGGAGATTAAATCACAGTCAATGTATCAGAGTGACAGAAGTCATTTGTCAAATTTAGGCATAGAAGTGTGCAATGAGAAGGATAAAATACATTGTCAGTGTGACTGAGAATGTCCCTTTTGTTCCAAACTACTTGACTCTGTGGGAAAAAATAATCAGGACATAGTACAGGTCATGGCACACAGTTCCCTGGGAAGAGGACGAGCAGCATATTGAGTGTATGACACATGAAGTTCAGTGTGTTGTAGAGAGACTCAGGGAAGTGAAGCCATGATAGTCCAAAAGACCAATCAACTAAGAGAAATGCTCAGAGTTGATAGCAGTGTCCCGAAACCATCCTTGGGACGGCTGCAGGTGAGCATGGAGGAGTGCAGGAGATACTTTATTGTCTGGGTCCACCTGATGATTGTTGTACTGGATTGCTTTCAATATTCCCTGCATTCATAATAGGGGGTTTCCTTATCAGGAGTAATCTTGAAAGACTAAGCTTTCTGAATTTATAATTTCTCAAGGAATATGTCTAATTTTATGCTTTTGTAGTTTTCTCTGTAACTGGGAATTCAGCGGTTGCTGTCTCCAGCACTCCATTGCCTCTAATGGATATTGAGCACAATTTGAAAGAAAGCTATTCCTTAATTTCTTCTGTCTGAAAGCTGTGTTTTTGAGAGTTTGTTAGGAGCTTGGGATTTTGGGCCAGAGTTCTAGTCTGTGTTGCATGGTAGCCCCCAAATGACAATAAGCCTCAGGCCCCATACCCCTCTAACCTGACAATTCTGAATTTACAAGAATCAGGCACTATGCAGGGGTGAGGCCATACTTTTGAAGTAGCTTAGTGAAAGTATCCTATCCCTGTGCTTTGAGGACAATCTCAGGGAATGTCACTCTTATAAAGAGTTGGGGGTTCTAAAGCAATATACAATCATTACCCATATCCAGAGGGAGCCAAATACCTTGTCTATTGCCAGAATTTAAAGGAAAAAAATCACAGAATTACATCAGTTAGGCATAGGTAAGATCCTGATTGGTTGACATTTGGGGAACATCTAGGGGAGTTTCCCAGAGTCAGGGCAACTGGTTTGTTAGTATTTTTGATTGTTAGTATTTTTGGCTACAGATGGGAGCATTAGTGGTTTCTATGGCTTTGTCATTTACTTTCAGGTAGCCTGTTTCACTGGTTGGTGCTGGGAGGGAGCATTCTGTGGTTTCTCTGTCTCTTGGAGGTGGTTTTTTATCAAACAAATTTTACTTTCATGGTCTGATTTCATCAAGAATTTGAATTCTGTTAATCATTGGCATTATCCTGAGACATAAATATATATTTTCAGGGAGGATAGGTATGATGGAAACTGACATTTATATGAAATTTATAAACAGATATTTTAGGCCATTCCTTCAGAAATCTAAGGTTTTCTTTGCAGGATCTGCATGACATATTCCAAAGGTGAGCTTATTCATCAGTGTGAGTCATGATATCCCAGAGCTGGAGAGATGGCTCAGCAGTTAAGAGCACTGACTGCTCTTCCAGAGGTCCTGAGTTCAATTCCCAGTAGCCACATGGTGGTTCACAACCATTTGGAATGAAATCTAGTACCCTCTTCTGGCCTTCAGGCAGACATGCACACAGAACTCTATATACATAATAAGGAATAAAGCTTTAAAATGTTTACATATAATATCCTGAAATAAGGTATAAAATTGACAAAGCTGCCTTAGCAAAGTGCTGGTGTACTTTATACAGAAAATATTCTGTTTGTATATGATGTGTTTGAGGTTATTTTCATGGATATGATTTGTGTTCTCATTAACAAGAAAGTGTGTTTATTTTTATATATTATTGAAGAAGTATATATAATGAAGCCTGATGCTAAATTTTCCAGTTTTAAAAACATAAACCCTGAGGGCCATTGGCTGTATATTCCTGGTAGCAAAAGACAGGGGCAGGAAACACTAGGAAACAGGTTGGTAGCAGGAAGTGCTTCAGATTGAGCATTGATGCTCATTGAGGAGGAAATTTTAATGTCTCCTGATCATGGGGGCTCACTATGATATCAGAAAACATGTATTGTGAAACATGTTCAGATAAGTGTTTGTTTCTTTTTAATTTGATTTGTGGTAATTGTGTGTGGGAATGTGTGGGTGTGTACATGCACATGTGTGGAGATCAGGGGACAACTTTCAGGAGACAGTCTCCTTCACCATGGGTTCCATGGATTAAGCTCAAGTTGTCAGGCTTATATAGAAAGGGATTTATCCCTGAGCCATTTCACTGAACCTGGAGTGGGGTTTTTCCTAATCATTGTGAAGATGTCTTTAGCACCTGGAAGATCAATGTCATCTTCTCTTGCAGGAGTGAGTCAGTGCAGTTGAGCATGCTCCAGATTACAAAACCAGAACTCAGTGCCCTACCCATCACCAAACTGGCACAATAGTGCAACTGCTAACAAGGTGAGTGTGAACAATGATGAAATGACCAGAGGTACTCTTCAACAGTGAGATAACCTTTGCAAAAACAAATGTTTTAGCTCCCCAGAAAGAAGTCTACATTGTAATCGTATTTAATCACCCAGTAACTTTAGATACAAACAAACATAAATATCATGTTGTGTCTGTTGGGACATAAGGAATGGCAAATTAAGGACTGTCTAATTCCAATTAAGTGTACTCAGTAATAGAAATATTTCATTATTTTCCCCAAAATGTTTTAGCAGCTATGTTCTTATAATGTATTACACTCTTAGATTAAATAAAAAATAGAAGATATAGTGGTGCACACTTGCAATTCCAACATAATAAAAACAAAGGAAGATTGCCAATGAGTGTGAGGACATTCTGGTCAACATAGTGAGTTCCATACTAGTCATGGATAAATAACAAGACTTTATCTTTTTTAAAAAACTGAAAAAGAAAAATCATAAAATAAACAGACAAAGCCATGTGTCATGAGCAATGAAACAAAACAAGTTGATAAGACATGAGACAGTGTCTGAATCCCTGTCCTAGATCTAAATGTCAACTGCAACCTCCCAGGGAAAGAGGTAAAGGAGGACAATTACCACCAGGGACACCCTTCTAAAGCATATTTAGCTCTTCCTATAGTATAAATTTGATTAATTACATGGAAATCACACCAGTGTGAAAGCGATGACTCCTCACATCTTAGGAATAATTTTTTGCGTAGACCCATGAGAACAGTGTTTGCCCTCACTGTAATACACACATCTTCCCTTTGCCAGGTGAGATTAAAAGTCACTAGAGTGAGGCTCCCTCCTTTACAGCATCTACGAAGTTTGAGAAACGCTTCCATCATGCTACCACTCTGTTTCTTGTGGAAATCCTTGACTAGATGTATCTAAGCCACAGTTAACCCCTAGTCTTATCCTGTTTGAAAATCCAAGAAGATTCTAGGACCTGTCTCATCTGAGAAATGTAAATGGCATTGTAATTATAAAGTTGACTCTCCTTCCCCCTCCTCTTCTCCCCTCCCCAGTCTCCTATTACTCTCTCCCCTCACCGCATAGGGAATAATAGGTTCAGGAAGGTCAGTTGGGGAAAGAATAGAGAGGGAAAGCCAGGAAAGAGGTACCATGATAGAGGGAGACATTATGAGGTTAACGAGAAACCTGGCACTAGGGATATTCCCAGGAGTCCACAAGGTTGAACCCAACTAAGAATCTAAACAACAGTGGAGAGGCTACTTTAACTACCCTTCCCGTATAATCAGATTGATGACTACCTTAATTGTCATCCTAGAGCCTTCCTCCCGTAACTGATGGAAGCAGAAGCAGAGATTCACAGCTAAGCACTGGGCTGAAAACCTGGAGTCCAGTTTTGGAGAGGGAGGAAAGATAATATGAGCAAAGGGGTCAAGACAATGTTAGGAAAACCCTCATAAACAGCTGATCTGAGCTAGTGGGACCTCACTCACTCCAGACTGACAGCTGGGGAATCAGTATAAGACAGAACTAGGACCCCTGAATGTGGGTGACAGTGGGGGGGGCGCTTGTGCAGTTTATGGGGCTGCTAGCAGAGGAACCAGTGTTCATCCCTAGTGTGTGAATTGGGTTTTTGGAGGGATACTTTGCTCAGCCTAGATACAGAGAGAGGACCTTGGTCCTGCCCCAAATAATGTGACAGACTTTGATGATTCCCAATGGGAGGTCTCATCCTCTCTGAGGAGTGGATGGGAGGTTGGGATGGGGAGATGGTGGGGGGAGTGGGAGGACAAGGGAGAAGTAACTGGGGATGGTATGTAAAATAAGATTAAGTTAAAAGTAGAAATAAAAGATACATAGAATAATAATGAAGAATATGGTCTCTTCCCACAGTGCACATTTTCTTTGAAGATATAATCATGCTTCAATACAAGATGAACTTTTGTCATGTGAAGAGTCAGCTTCAACTTTACCATTAGGACCCATCTGTGGATCCTATTGGATGCTATGTGGCCTTCGGGACTGGGCTGTACAAGTCTGTACAGATTTCTGATCCAGAAGGAGAAAACAACTGGTTGAATCTGAGGATGTGTTTCTTCTCACATCTTCTTCTCTAATCATTACAGTCTCCTCACCACATGCCCCGTAATCCATCTCTACATAGAGAAGCCACTGGGACGGGTTGGTGTGCTCCTTGATTGTAGTGATAGATGGTGTTGCCCAGAGTTCCTGGATATACAAGTATCCTCCTGGCACCTTAAATTATTCTGTCAAGCCTTTCTTCTCAACCAAATACACATAATCACAGGAAAATATAATCCTAATCTTGTACTTAAGTGGTTTTTGTTAAGTATGTGCTTTGTATTGCTTTTATTGCTAGTAAATAATAAATACTATTGAATATAAAGTTAATTGACTGTTTCCTTTCAGTCTGTGGTCTGCATGTTCCACCAAAACCATTTCCTTTCAAACAGGATTTGATTTTTTCTATTTTCCAAGTTTATTTTTTTATCTTTAAACACTTATTTTACATACCAATCCAAGTTGTCTCTCCCTCCTATTGTCCCATCGCTCCACCATGTCCCCATCCCACCCTCCATCCACTCCTCAGAGAGGGTGAGGCCTCCCATGGGGAATCATGAAAGCCTGTCACATTATTTGGGGCAGGACCAAGGCCTTCCCCCTGTATCTAGCCTGAACAAGATATCTCTCCAAAGGTATAGGCTCCAAAAACACACTAGGATAAACAGGGGTTCCTCTGCCAGCAGCCCCATAAACTGTACAACCCCCCCCCACTGTCACCCACATTCAGGGGTCCTAGTTCTGTCTTATACTGATTCCTCAGCTGTCAATCTGGAGTCAGTGAGGTCCCACTAGCTCAGGTCAGCTGTTTCTAAGGGTTATCCCAACATGGTCTTGACCCCTTTGCTCATATTATCTTTCCTCCCTCTCTAAAACTGGACTCCAGGTTTTCAGCCCAGTGCTTAGCTGTGAATCTCTGCTTCTGCTTCCATCAGTTATGGGAGGAAGGCTCTAGGATGACAATTAAGGTAGTCATCAATCTGATTATAGGGAAGGGCAGTTAATCACTCTCTCCACTATTGCTTAGATTCTTAGTTGGGTTCAACCTTGTGAATTCCTGGGAATTTCCCTAGTGCTAGGTTTCTTAACCCCATAATGACTCCCTCTATCAAGGTATCTCTTTCCTGCTCTCCCTCTATGCCCTTCCCCCAACTCAACTTTCCTGATCCCCTTTGTTCTCTTCCCCACTCCCCTTTTCCTCTTCCCACTCTCCTAGTACCCTCCCCCTTGCTCCTAAGTTACTCAGGAGATCTTGTCCCTTTCCCTTTCTGGGGGACTGCTGGGTCCTAGGGCAGGTAGGCCTGGGGAAGGGCTCGTCCAGCCTGTCTCTTCCTGGGTCTGAGCAATTAGAGAGTGTCAACGACCCAGACTCTGCTCCTAGTTACCAGAGAGGACCACACTGAGTTGGGAGACTTGTCGAAGCAGGATCTCTCTTTATTGCATTAGGCAGGTACTTATATAGGGTTGAGGAAGTGGGTAGGGACCTCAGGATGATATGAGGTGTCTGGGCCAATAATATTTCACCATGTTAGCAGTAGCTGAGCAGAGGCAGTTTCGCTGAGTCACTCCTATGTGGAAGTTATAGGCCAAAGACAGATCGACAAACGCTAGCCAGGCTCAGGAAGCTCCACTAGGCCTTGTGTCTGGGCCTTTTTAGGCTCAACAGGAGGCATTCATGTATAGCACTCTTAGAGTCCTCCTTGTTTCCTGGCTTCTCTGGTGTTGTGGACTGTATACTAGTTATACTTTGCTTTATGTCTAATATGTGCTTATGAGTAAGTACATACAGTATTTATCTTTCTGTGTCTGGTAACCTCAATCAGGATGGTTTCTTCTAGTTCCATCCATTTGCCTGTGAATTTCAAGATGTCATTGTTTTCTTATAGCTGAGTAGTGCTCAATTGTGATTTGTGCCACATTTCCTTTACCTATTCTTCAGTTGATGGGCATCTAGGTTGTCTCCAGGTTCTGGCTATAATGTATAATGCAGTGGTAAACTTAGTTGAACAAGTGTTCTTGTGGTATGATTGAGCATTCTTTATGGATATGCTCAAGAGTGGTAATGCTGAGTCTTGAGGTAGATTTATTCCCAGTCTTCTGAGAAAGCACTATATTGATTTCCAAAGTGACTGTACAAGTTTGCATTCCCACCAGCAATGGAGGAGTGTTCCCCTTACTCTACATCCTCTCCAGCATAAGCTTTTATAGGTGTTTCTGATCCTAGCCATTCTGAAAGGTGTAAGATAGTATCTCAAAGTTGTTTGATTTGCATTTCCCTGATAACTAAGGATGATTTTTTTGTTTCTTTGTTTTTGCAAACTTGTCAGAATTATTACTTACGACTAAAACTTTAGTTCAGTTTTAGATCCTATTTTAAGTATTCTCAGAACCCTCAGTTGTATTGTAGCACAAAAATATTATATAGCTATGTGTGTATGTGTGTGTGTAATATATATATATATATATAGTCTTATTGGTGTCAAGCAGGAGCACAGATTGATATTGTGCTAATTTTTTTTAATATTAGTTTGAAACAGGCTACAGAGAAGGGAACCCCAGTTGAGAAAATGCCTCCAGGACAATGGATTTGGGGCAAGCTTGTGGAGCATTTCCTTACTTAGTTATTGATGAGGCAGAATGGAAGATCACTGTTGGCAGGGTTTTCCCTGGGCTGCAGGTGGTGGCTTCTATAAAAAAGCAGGCTAGCCGGGCGTTGGTGGCGCACGCCTTTAATCCCAGCACTTGGGAGGCAGAAGCAGGCAGATTTCTGTGAGTTCGAGGCCAGCCTGGTCTACAGAGTGAGTTCCAGGACAGCCTCCAAAGCCACAGAGAAACCCTGTCTCAAAAAAAAAAAACCAAAAAAAAAAAAAGCAGGCTAAGCAAAACCCGAGATACAATATAGTAAGCAGGATTCCTTCATGGCCTCACAGTTCCTGCCCTTGCAAGTTCCTGTCCTGTCTTTCTTTGATGATGAATAATTATATGGAAATGCAAGCAAATAAACCCTTTCCTCCCAAATTGCTTTGGTCAAGGTGTTTCCTCACAGCAACAGTACTCTTCATAAGACAACTTAGTCCCAGGATAGGGGGTATAACCAGGATATGACTGTAACACAACTGATTGTGCTGTTTGGGGGAGAATGGTGAAAAGATTTAGGACTTTTGGGATAGAAAAGCCATTGGGTGTTGAGAGCCCTGTTCTATAGCTTGGAAGGTAAGAATGTTGAGATGGTAGAGGCCTGGGTTGTGACGTTTCAGAGGAAAGCAAAGACTCTATCAGGCCTTTTGTGTGAAGAATCTGTGTTGTCTGGTCAGCTGGAGCTGATGAATCAGCTATGATGAGCCAGAGACCAGAACCACTAACGTGAAATCCTTGTTTGTGGGGACAATGTTGCTGGATGGCTTGGGTTGAAAAATCAGCTGTGATCACTCTCTCCACTATTGCTTAGATTCTTAGTTGGGTTCAACCTTGTCTTCTGGGAAATGTTTCCTCAGGGCGAACTCACAGAAGCTGTGTCCCAGAAGACCTGAGGCTGCACTTGTGCTGATAGCTGAACTTGGTAGTGTAGGAGGCACTGGTTGTGCAGACATGCATGAAGAGGTCATGGAGAACAGCTCAGGCTTGGCAGTGTGAGGTCAAGAGAAGACTTTGGAGAAGCTTCTGCTACAGAGACTCTTGCTAAAACATGTTCACTGCTGTTTTGTTCATAATAGCCAGCTATTGGAAACAACCTAGATGTCCCTGAACACATGAATGGATTAAAAAGTGTGGTACATTTACACAATGAAATTTTACTCAGTCATTAAATAAATACAACCATTAAATTTCCATGGAAATGAATGTAACTAGAAAAAATTCATACTGAGTGAGGTAACCCAGACCCAGAAAGACAATATAGGATGTTTCCCTTTTATGTGGATATTAACTGTTATTAGTGGATATAAGTTGTTAATAATAAGAATCTGCACAACCACAGAGGTTACATATACAGTAAGGGAACATATAGAAATACTAGAAAAGGGAAATATAGATAGTTATAGATGAATGGGGGACTTGAATGAGAGCATCAAGAATGGAGAGGGCAGGGGGAGGGTGTGATGTTACATAGTGAGAGACAGCTAAAATTAAGGGCTATTTAAAATTTACTGTGGAAGCCTAATATAATAGAAGCTTCCTAAAGTACATACTTATATGAAGCTGATCTAAATGAAATCACCAAATAATAGGGAAGATGGCCCCAACTATTGTCACCAACTGAAGCTTCCTATACTGAGAATGGCGTACTCTTAATTGAATTGTTGGCCAATGGGGGCCATGGGAACACCCAAACGTCTCAGAATGGTGCCAAGAATATACATTGCCTTCTTTCTCCTGATGAGAGGCCAATATCTGTTTCTGTGAGGAGTTCCTAGAGGAAATCTAAATAATGGAAAGATGAGACTCTGCCATAGAGCCAGTTGGCACAACTCTGGAATGTGAGTTTTGTGCATGGTAATAGATTAGATATGGATCAATTTACATTCTTCTATGTCCTGATATACAGTCAGACCAGCACGATTTATTGAACCAGCTTTCTTTTTTCAGTTGTGTATTTCTGGATTCTTTATTTTTTTAATCTTTACGTTCCTTTATTGGAGCAAGATTCCTGACATATACAGTATGTATTTACTAAACAGAGTCCTTTGCAGATATTACCGACTATCGTCCCAACAGATTTCAGTTACACTTTGCCTATTATGGTATAGTTCCATTTATAAAGTTTTAGACATCAGAAAAATTTGACCAGGCTGTCCAAATATCATCTCTGAAAAAGTGGCATTTAATTTTAGCTGGATTTTGCATTAAAAAGCTTATGCATCAGGTAGCTTCCCAAAGCATTATTCTCTGGCATTGAACAGACAGGAGCTCTTCATCCACCCAGATGCAGTCACATCTGAGAGCCTCTGCTACATACCTGGGACTGAGCACTCCTGACTGCATACTTTGACAGCTTACTTTCTTGGCCAGTTCACAATGTCAATGTAGACATACCAGCAGCTGTCCTTTGTACAGATGGCATTAGAGTAACAGGTCTGTGACACAATATAAGCAGATACTGTCATAATATCCAGGCAACTAAAGGCCCATTTAAAAAATGACAAATTGAGATAAAAATCAAAGGTCCATGTCCATGTTAGCAAACTGTATCCAATCACTCTGTTTCAAACATTAAGACATGGTTCAAATCCCTTTAACTCAGTCTGCATAGCCCTGAGGTCATCCTGCAAAGTGCGTATCAAAAAAATACCAAGTTAGCGAGACAGATTTTGACATGATGTCATTATG